TGTTTGATTGTTAAAAATGATTAAAAAAGACTACAAATGTAAATAATCTGCTTAAAATTCATTCAAATGACTAATTTTACACAAACTTCTCACAGTTACTAAGTTCACAGTTTGCGTTCATTTTACAGTTTTGAATATAATATGAAATATAGATCAAATATGTCACTGAGTCAGTTTATTAAATTATAGAAAACAGGTCCTGTAATAAGGAAGAAAAGGTTGGAATAATCTCTTAAGATATGTGTCATTAATTCAGATCCTCTCTCTCCTGATGCAGAAGGGGACGCAGACACGAGGAGGGTAATTTAAGGCCCTTAGCTCTTCACCTAAATTACATTACCTGCTAGATTACAGCAATTTTCCAGCTGTTTGCCTCTTCTGACCTTCATTACTGATACCACCTCCCTAAAGTCTTCAGCAGAGAGAGAGAGAAGAGCGGCTCCGTGTTCAACCCGAGCTCTCGTTGTTGACCCCGAGCACCCCCACTCTTGCTGTTAATAATGATCGCAATGATTTGTATTCACGCAGCGCTGTCCCTCGACCCCCGTGGCACATTACAATGCAAGGAATAAGACGGCTTTTCAATCATCACTTTGAAACCAGAGTGTTTACAGTGTGCTCGTCCGACATGACTCAGCAGTTACATTGAAACTGCAGCAGCTTATGCAAATAAAGGTTTATTAATTGATTAGTGCAGAATATTTATTATGGATGTGATGTTGGGACAACTGAAACATGCAGTAGACACACATTTAAACTGATTATTGGCAAGTTTCTGCTCTATCAGTTCAATTTAAATAGGCTTTAGTGGCATTGCCAAAGCAGAATTAACAATAAAAACAATGTTAAAGGAGGAAATTAACAAAAACAATGTGAACTGAAGTATTTTATAGTAAGTAAACCTGCTAACACTGTGAATCATTCATCAATAACAGTGTGATCAATGGCTAAAATAGCAAATAGTATTGTGAATCAGCGAAGTGACCTCTACGGTGTACCTGATCGGTATTTAAACACAACACGGTGCGTTCAGTGTGTGCAGAGTGGGGGGAGGAAGGACTCACTAAAGGTTCTTTTGGTCCTAATTTGTTTGTTAATGAACAGAGAGCAAACAGATTTCAGCAAACACTAATTAAAACTTACTGATTAAAACGGTAGCGTATTTATGTTGTTTTCACAAACAAACACAGAACTGGAGGGAATTCCAACATAATTATTATTGATTAATTTATCAATGAGCTGATCATAAAATGGCTTTTAAATGACAAATGTGGACAAATTGTCCTCAAATTGTTTGTTTTGTTTGAGCAACAATAAAAAATACCAAAATATTTAATTTACAGTGGTATAAAACATACACTGTAAAACCAGATAAGTTAATTTAACTAAAAAAAATGTTGAATTTAATCGAACATTTTAGTTAAAAAGTTAAAAACATTCCTGATTAATAACATTTGACTGTGTATTTTGTTTTTACAGTACAAATATAATTATTATTACTTAAAATTACTACTTGATCAAGAATGTTTTTTAACTTGTAATGTAGTTTGTTTTATTCAAAAGTTTAATGAACGTTTTTGGTTCAGCAAGTATAAATACTTAGTTTTGTAGTTTTTTTCTGTACTTCACTTATTTACATTCGTTTTTATTTATTTTTCGGACAACCTTTTACTTTCACACGCTACATTTTTACACAAGTATTTGTACTTTCCACTGCGTATATTCTTCAAAACAGGCTCGTTACTTTAGTTTCAATGCATTTGAGGGGGAATCGTTGATTTTTACTATTTATTTAGCATCATTGAACGTCTTCCCAACATCAAGACCTGATGAATTCATGAATGATAGATGACGAAAACCACAAAAAATACGTTAAAAAGACGAAAGAGCCTTTACTTTAGTTAAACCAGTATCTCTAATTTAACTTTTTTTTACAAAAGTATCTGTATTTCTCTGTAGCTCTTACATTTTTCCTTAATAAATCAGTCATTTAAAGGTAGATAACGGGGCTTCTGTAGGGTTATTTTACCGGCATATGTGTTGCTGCTGAGTGCTGCCACCCAGACGGTTACAGTCTAAACGGAGAGCCTCTTAAGGAGTCGCAGTGTGTTTATAAACCGATGCAGTAATCCACGACTCCCTCTGTGGAGCAACAGGCCTAATACAGGATCTGTGGGATTCAACCATCTGCTGCCTTTTATTAGAGGAAGTTACATGCTGGGGAGAAAGGGAAATCCTTGAGTCATCCTCCTCTGCAGCGAATCTGTCTCTAAAGATCAGTAAAAAATTAAACATGTTTGGAAAAGTGAGCTGTTGGATGAAAGAGAAAGAGGAAAGAAATAAATGTAGAGTATAAATAGAAGATGGCATGTGAGTAAAATAAGTATCGTCCATCCGGCTTTGTGAGGGATGTGGAGAGACGGGAGCGCTGTGTGAGGCCGACAGGGCTTTAATTAGGAAGTTAAAGGAAAAGGAATAAAGGGAGGATGTGTGTCAGGGCTGGAGGAGGTTGGACCGCTCAACCACCTACATTTACCAAAATAACTGAGAAAATGAGGGAGGCCATGTTCATCCAGTTTCAGTTTGATTTATTCACTTGATTAAAATATCTCAGTTTGTGAGATTATAGAAACACTGAAATGAATCTTGGTCGCCAGATTTGACAACTGTTGCTGTAGCTAGTTAACTTGTTGAAAATATTGCCTCTTCTGGTCTTCTGGACTTTATAACGGTCAGGGTTAAATAAAGGGATAATGCCCGACGAGGTGTCCATTATCAGGAATTAATTGACGACGTGGAGGCCAGAACCATCCTCTGGGAACCAAGCTTAAATGCTGTAGTAGCATCTACTCGGGGACATTTTTATATACTTTTTTTGTTGTTTTTTTATCTTTAAACACACTTAAAATTGAGCATAAATCAAAAGTCAGTGCTCTTTGAAAGAGGCAAATAAGATAAGATAGACTTTATTGATCCCACACTGGGGGAAATTCAGATACAACACAACAGATAAGAATAATACACATTAAATAAAAATAAAGAAAAATAGAAAAATACAAGATATAATGAAATTAGAAACTAATTTAATTAGAGTTATATGTACAATAGCATGTTTTATACAGATATTTTATAAATGAACCCAACAGGGAAGTAACACAAACTGCAGTTCCTCTAACGTCCACTAGAGGCTGGCTCCAGCAGTGAGTCAACCTCCATAAGACCTCATATTAAAACTTTACAGCAGCAATAAACATGATTACAGCCTGGTACCAAAAACAGTTTCGGTCTCGGTAGCTAAATTCCCCATTTGTTTGATTACAGCACATTATTTTTTAAAAATGAAGAAAATGTTGAGTTTTTGCTCTTTAAACAACAATTTTAATAGTCTTTTTAGGAAAGTAAACCAAATAATTCAGCATTTCTATAGTTTTTCTCTTTGTTACACTTGAAAAACACAACAAGCGGTACAGAAGATATATAATAAATGCAGGAAAAAGCTTTCTCTTTGTTTTCATTGTGACCATACGCCTGTGAAATAACACAACAAAATGCAAAGACAACAACAAAACAACTCTAACAGTATATATATATATATCACCTCCCTCCGTCCTGTCACCTCTTTCCGCCACATTGCAGAAAAAGAGCCGAGAGGAGAGCTGCGGCGAGGGCAGCGGCGTGGAGATCCTGGAGAACAAGCCTTACGAGGACGGCCCCGGAGGCTCGGGTCAGTACACGCACAAGGTCTACCACATCGGCAAACACATCCCGTCCTGGTTCTGTGCCATTCTGCCTCAAGCTGCCCTACGAGTGGAGGAGGAGTCCTGGAACGCCTACCCGTATACACGAACCCGGTGAGAGGGAAAAAAAAGCGGGAAATTACTTCCCAAACATTGAGATATTTTAAATAATGAGTGGGGATTAAACTTCAAACAGTTAAGCATACATTACATTAGAAGATTTCAGGCTGCTGGCATTAACTTAAAGTACAAAGACTGAACTTTTAGTCATAAAAAGTTTTTATTACGTGGCTTCTGGATTCATAAATTTGATGAATTAAATAACATTCACTCGTTGTTGCTGATGAAGACATTTTTTTTTGGAACAATTTCAGCTGAACAATCACATATTCATTTACTGCCAACTTTGGGCCACATTTGCCAACTTTTTTACATCCTCCAGACAACTTAATTTCTCTCCAAATTGCTCAGGGTAGCAAAGGTTTTTCAGACCAGCAAGAATTTATGTGCTTGGCACCGATTCTCAATTCCCACAGATTAGATTTGCAGGACTTCCATCAAAGCTCGTGCACATTAAAAAGCCCCGAAATCATATATATGAAAGTGTCGTCATGCTAATTGCTCTAAATATAATAATGTATGTGATTCAGCAGAATCAAATGTGCAGGAGTCCCTCGTTGTTCTCTAGAAGAGTTTTAAAAAAGCCCGAAATAAAAAAACAACAAACAAAAAAAGTCTAAAATAACCATGAAAACTCTGAAATATTCCAGAAAAATCAGGGCTAAAGATGAAAACAGAGTAAAGTCAATGACAACCAGGAAAATTTACATTTAAAACTTCAGTTTTAAAAATCAGTGTTAATAAATTGACACAGTCACAGCTGAAGGTGTATTCCTCCAAGTATTAATATTTTGTGCCATTAATGATCAAACTGATGGAAGGAAGTTGCATCCCGACCTCTAAACACCTCTTACCTGTTGTATATTTCCTCAGGTATACCTGTCCCTTTGTGGAGAAATTCTCCATAGACATTGAGACGTATTACAAACCAGACACTGGAAATCAAGTGGATGTCTTCAATATGTCCTCTGCTGAAAAGAGACAGAGGACTGTAGGTAAGTAAACACAATCTACTAACATTATAAAAGCTCCCAGAGTGAGTTTTTATTATTATTTATTATTAAATTGTGTCTTTGTGATCTGTTACACTGATTGTTGTCAGCTCATAAACAGAATCAGAGGCTGAATTTACACAATGTTGTTTGCAGTGAGAACACAGACAGACTGTGGAGCGTATGAGCTCGTGTTCAGCCTCTGAATACTAAAATTCACTCGGGTGCTGGAAAAATGTGCAGTCTGCTCCAGACACATTCCCTGCAGGCAGTGATTACATAAAAGCCTCACACACACACACACCCACACACACACACACACACACACACACACACCTCCTGAGGCAGGTGTTCTGTCAGGTCTGCATCCAGTTTTTTTTGTTGTTGTTGCATTTTGTGTGATTCATTATCATTTTGTGCCCCCTCTCGTAGACCCCATAGACATCGTAAAGGACTACATCCCTCCTCACGAGTACCTGGTGGAAGAAGACCCCAAGCTGTATCAGTCGGTGAAGACCAAACGGGGTCCGCTGTCGGACGACTGGATCGAGGAAATCAACCAGAATCCCGGTCAGAGCCCCGTCATGTGTGCCTACAAGCTCTGCAAAGTGGAGTTCAGATACTGGGGCATGCAGTCCAAGATCGAACGCTTCATACACGACGTGGGTAAGTATGGCAGTGAGTCTTATTGTTACAGACATATTCTTGACATGTTATGCATTGATATTCCTTAAAAGTCAACCCTTCCAAAAATTGGGAATAATCCTGAAAATAATTATGACATTTGTGGTATTTATCTTGAAATGTGGAGAATAATCCTGAAAAGACGAGAATAATTCTTAAAAAGTCAAAAGTAAAGAATAATAATGAAAAGTTTGGAATAATCTTGCAAAATCAGGAATAATGGGAATTGTAATACCCCTAAAATGTCAGGAAAAGAAATTAAAAGTCAGGATTTATCATGAAAAATCAGCAATAATCCTGAAACAGTTGGGAATAATGCAGAAAACTGAGTAATCCTGAAAAATTAGTTGCTAAAAAGTTGAGAATAATTCAAAAGTAAGTAAAGGATACCTAAGAAAAGTCACTGTGAACATTTTTTGTTAATAACTTTAAAAGATAACTTTTAGAATCAGTAAAACCTCTCAGGAATAACGGTGAAAATGTGGGAATAATCCTTAAAAATTCACTGACAATACTTTGGAATAAAATCAGTAAGAACGACACAGCGAGCCGGTCGATAAGAAAACAATAGATCGATGAACCACTGATTAATGAAAACCACGAGCAGAAAGAGAGAAACGAGGGGGAATAAACAGAAAATGAACGAAGGTGAGCGTGAGGAAGAGGAGCAGGTAAATCAAATATATATAAAACACCTGGCTGAGGCGGTTTGAGTCTGGCTGCCTGAGATAACACAGCAAAGACTGAATTAATTTCCTGCCAGTGTTGTGGCTGTTTTCTGTCCCACTGCTGTGATTTAAGACTGTTTATAGACTCTCGCAGGCCTCCGCTCACTCCCTCGCAGTATTTACCTCCAGACTAATGAAGCAGCAGCTGCTCCGTCTTCATTCTCACTCTGTGGTTCCCATCGACTGATCTTCATCACGCTTTTTAAAGGAACTTTTCTTTTTCTTTGTTTAATGGTAACTTCATTAATATTATTTCCGCTCTCGTGTTTAATTTCCTAACGTGTTAGTGGTTATTTTCGCTGGATATTAATTTAATAGCTCCCTCTGTTTGCTAATTCTGGCTTTTTATTGCCCGGTTGGTTGTTTTAATCACGATCCGCTCACCGAGTTCAGGTTTTTATAACCAGCTGCTGCTTGTTTAGGTCATCGAGAGAAAGACAGTGATGGAAATTAAACCTCCTGAGTCACTTTTCAGCCTCGTTCAGAGAATACAGGGCTTCCTCCAGTCTTTTGCTTTTAATTAAAATGTATTTTTATATATATATATATATATATATATATATATAATGTTTTTTTAATCAGCTAATTGAGATCAGTA